TTCCGACACAGTTACCTCCGATATACAACGTGACGTTCCCCCTTTGAAATATAAGCCATGACATAGATCGGTCATACTGTGATTAGTTACCGCTGATGCGGATGTATATAAGACGTCTTATCACTTTGTACTACCTATTTGGATTCTAATCTTGGAATAGTTTGAGTCTACATGATTTGAAAATATCCCCTTATTATTTAGTAATTCTCTGTTATGCATATTCAAATTATTTAATCCATGCTGGCCTTCAATATTTCCAGCTCTTAATTCATTTCGTACGAAAGATTATCTTCAGTTATCGGGAATTTTCACAAACCATAAGCATTTTAAGATGAGACTTTATATAAGAAAATCTTCAACAACTATCAATTAATGAACGTAGACAATTATACATATGGTTCACAAAGTGTTAATTAGCAAATGATTCAAATGTACGGATACATATCAAAAATCATACGAGTGAATGCGTTATAATTCTAGATCTCATTGTACTGCATTTTATTATCGTTCGTAATATTTTTTTGAAGTGATATTGTTTATTTGACCTGTCATTTATTCTCAACTGGTTCCGTAATCACTTATTTACATTTCTTACATGTTTGAAAACACTGCAGCAATTCGGAAGACTCTCCCGGTCTCCCACATTGTACGAGTATTCCATGTACCCAAATAAATGGTTGCTCTGGTTGTCAGAAGGGGCATTGGCCTCATGACTTCCGAAGGAACTGGGCTTTCATCATGAGACGTCATAGTTCTAAATGAAGACCTTCTGACTGTCAGGGCAGAGTTTAAACGGTTTGAATAATTTTTTCTGGTTAGCGTTTTTTTAGCGAGTTAGTTTTCTGCGGGATGAGGTCGCTAACCCCATGCCCAACCCTCCTCCTTTTTCCGGGCTTGGGACCGGCATTAGCCCCCGGAGGCACTCCAGGCGGAGTTGTTTGAGAACACTAACTCCATCTTTATAATTAAGGATATATTATTTAAATACCTTTCAAATATCTTTTTTTCATGATATGTAAATCACATCATTTGCTGTAAGTCCATAATAAACAGATTGAATTGAATGTTGTGCACCAGCTCTGCTAATATCTATTGTCATAAGAAATTATTGGTATTAGGATACGGATTTTTGAAAGCTGGGAAATCATAAGTTCGTTCCCATTAAAGACCGACATCAGGGGACCGATTTACCTGCTCTAGACATTTTATGCTCCCCGTTAAACTAGCGGTTCTTGGGTACAATCTCATTTTTGTGATCGTCAATGTATCTTTCCTGAGAATCCCGAAGGTAGAATGAAGTAACTGTTAGATGCTTGTCTGTATCTTATGGTTTTCAGGATGATGTCAGTTTATCTAAAAATTCGACTTCAATATAATGTACAGATTTCTTCGCTTTTACAAAGGTAGTAGCTGAAGCCTGAATAGTTCATTTTTTTGGTGTTCATACTAGGTAACCTATATTTAAGGCTCTGACCAGATGGATACTTTTACAAATTTGACAGATCTATATTTTTGTCAATTGTATGATTTCGATCTGTGAAATTTCTAAAAATCTCCACAAAACCCATTCTGATAGTAATCAACTGTTCAATAGTGACTGACTTCAGGAGATACTCCTGGAGTTTTAGTGAGAAGCCTTTATTATTATTATTATCATTATTATTATTATTATTGGCTTTACTAGAGGAGTTCAACCAGGTCTGTTGGGAGATATCAACTCACTGAAGACAATGATGTACGGTGGCACAACTTCGTGGATTGGTTGAAGTTAGACATTAACACTGTTGGATGCCGGCTCAGTGGTCTAATGGTTAAGTGCTCGCACAAGAAACCAGTAGGTCCTGTGTTCGAATCCCGCGGGGTGCGGGATCGTGGATGCGCACTGCTGAGGAGTCCTACACTAGAACGAAACGGCCGTCCAGTACTTCCAGGTTTTCCATGGTGGTCTAGCTTCAATTGGCTCATGATTTCAATCTGTGAAATTTCTAAAAATCTCCACAAAACCCATTCTGATAATTGCATGATTTGTTCAGCTTAAAGTACAGGATAAACTATTCTGTTAAATTATTTTACAGAATATTAGTATTACAAAGCTTTACTTAGGAAAATCATCTGGTGCTGAGAGCTAAACAGAATAATAATGGCAACTCTTTGTAATTGGTTCGATAACAATGGAATTCATTTAATTTTAGATTGAACTGTTTATACTTCATTTGTAAAATGTCATATTATTTATTCATCAAATCATACCATACATAAATTACCGTCATTGATTAAACGGAGACAAATGACCTATTGTTTGTTTTATTGTATTTCAAGCACTGTGTTAGTAAACTGATCATTATTATAGGATTTTGACCTTGGTTAAAGTTGTGTCTTCTTTTTATTTGTTTATTTATTTGAAGGTTGTCTATTGTCATATTTCTTGTACATAAGGTAGGTGGCCAATTAAAATGAATAAATCAGTTAGTCACTATTAATCCAACGAAAAATTTCAAAGATCAAAACCAGATTGTCAATAGAAGATAGAATTAGGAAAAAGAAGACAGGATGATGTAAGCTGACAACAAATAAACTTTTTATATAATTTTTCTCTTTGTTAATTACAGTTTGGACTTGTATTGCTTTTCAGTCGGTGCTTTTTCTGTTTCACCGTTCAACAAATTTCTGATCCAAACATATCAGGTTCATCTATGACTTATATAAGTGTTTTGGAAACTGAAGTATCTTACTGTGATATTTTTGTTTAGATATCTGGTATACATATCATTTTTACATGATATGGTTGTAATTTACTATACATGTATCATTCATTTTTCATGGGATAGAAAACATTTTGAACGTCTAGGAAATACAATTTTGAATTTGAGTATTGTGAAAGTCAAATGTTAAGCAGTGACCTATGTATTTCAAAAGATTCACATGTTAATTTTCAACTAATCTGTTTAACAGAACGTAGCAGTATGAAGAAATTTCCGCTTTATAACAACTTACCAAGGCAACTCAAATTGTTTAGTCCTTCAATCTGATGTTTCACCATCTTGAAAATATCTTCACGTATTTGAATATTGATCACAAAATGTAAAGTGTTGAATGAAAATGCCTTTTTGTATTATTTCGATCGATTTGATGGTTATTGAAAATGGCATGAACTGCTATTGCCGATTTAATTTGAAGTCTTTCCAGGTTTACGGGATTATCAGGCGGTTTCTTTGTGTACGAGATGACTCTCCAATATAAAAGGCATCACAATCTATACATTCTAATTTGTACACTCAGCTTTGTGTTAACATAAATGGGATTTTCTCCTTTGTGTGAACCAAAGTTGTTTATTTCTTTGTAATATACTTTAATTCTGTGTTGTCTTAAGACCCTTTGGAGTTCTTCTGTTGTACCATGGTGGTAAGGTTAAGCTACAGTACCAATCCATGGTATTTCATTCGAATTATTATTTAGCAGTAAAATGTCGTTTTATTGCATTTTTAATAACTTTCCTATGAAAATTATTAGATTGTAAGATGTTAATTATATACTTTTGTTCATTTTGTTTATCCTGTTAAAATGTAATAATCTTGTTTTCTCTTATAAAGAGATTTAGGGTCAGAGAGATTTTCGCATTGAATGGATGTGTTGCATTGAAGTCGATATAATGGTTTGAGTGTTTTGGTTTTCGTTAGATGCTTAAATTGAGAGCTTCAATTAGATTTCCTTTAAATAAACAATCTAAAAATGTTAGCTCAAAGTGTTCATTTTTATTCTGGTACATAAATTTAATGTGAGATGAGAGAGAGTATTGATCAGTTTAGAAAAATGATCTTAGATGAGTCGTTTTTACGACAACAAAGTATCATCTACATACCCAAGCCAAATTCATCCTTTAATGTCATTAGCTAATGATATTTGATTCTGTATGTGACATAAACAATTTTATTAACTTTTGTTTTATAGTTGAGAATCACATTGGGAGTGGAGAATATTGTTTCGATAGTACCCCTCGGTTGACAATTTCTCTTCATGCCATGATAATTTATACTTTTTACTTATATCTACATTTAACTTAATTATTAAGTGTTGTAATGACAAATGACGATAACCAGAAAAATGATTGTTTCATTTTATAATATCACAGATTAAAATAATGAGTCAGTTGAAGCTAGACCACCATGGAAAACCTGAAAGCACTTGACGGCCATTTGGTCCTAGTATGGGACTCCTCAGCAGTGCGCATCCACGATAGTATGAAATCTGTTCACTTATGGTTTATGCTTAGAATGTTATAACAAAAGTTAACGAAAAAAATTCTACAGCAATCAATTGGCCCATAAAGCTAATATTTTTGTCAAGCCTTTATTTAAAGGGAATTATCTTGGTGTACAAAATAGGTGTCAACCGAGTAGTAGCATTGAAATAACATTCTCCCCACTCCCAATATGATTCTCAACTATGAAACAAAAATTCTATTCAGAAAATCTGACTTAGATAACAGATCTTCTTTACTTAACTCCATTTGCATTTACTCATTCCTAAAGTATTCACTGACACATGGTTCAGTTGCTGAAAATAAGTAGGTCCCGAATATCATATCAAAATTATATTTAATAGTGTAAAGATACATTATTTAAATCTTACTACTGTAGAACCTCGTACTCATTATTAAGCAGGTCAACTAGATTCTCAGCTTCGCTACTCGAAATAGATATACGAGATAACATGATTGGGTTACTAAGAGTAACAAATTGTTAGTTAATTCGGGAAATTACAGTATTTATTAAAGCCGACTCTTCATTGAATGTTTAAAACCTACGTTTTTGATTGATCATAGAGGCAAGGAGAGACGGTATATCGACCAAATTTCAAACCGTTAAAAATTTTATTCCCCCATTTGATGCTCACCGTTATTAACAGATATGAAGATCTTTGGTTCGATCATTAGTGCGGTTGTTAACGGGAACTACTAAGAAGCTGAAAACTGTGATGGAACAAGTATAATGCATTCTTACATTATAGTAGATAATTCACATATCTGTTTTTTTTCCATTTTTATTCATTTAAACTTATCACTAGTTGTGCTTTGACTTGAGACTCAAATTTCCTTTATAGAGTTTTTAATTGGACAGACGAAGTATTGTAATCATGTTTTAGATTGTTTAGATATTGATGACGATAAGTTATGTTTCTTCCAGCTTTTGCACAACGTTATATATACAGTGGCAAATTTTCAAACCAGTTTTATAAACACAGTTAACTAAGATAGCTAAAAATCTTCACAAAGCTTGCACTCGAAAGATTGTTTAATTTAATTGAATGTGAGTCGGATTTCCAGACCGTTTATAGTTTCTGTCAGTATGGAGATATTTGCGGATCGTAGTATTTTTACAGTTGAATTAACAAGTTGATCTAAGCTAGAACATCGTTGAAAACCTGAAGGCACTAAACGACCGTTTCGTCCTAGTATGGGACTACTCAGAGGTGTTCATCCATGATCTCTCACAAAAGGTATTCAAACGCAGAGCCTTTGGTCTTGAGTGCGAACGCTTAACTTCTGGACCACTGAGCCGACATTCAACGGTGTTAATGTCTAACTTCGATCTACCCATGGTCTTGCTCTAAGCTTGATCTATTGTGTGAACTGGGTAACTGTCTCCATCAGACAGGGATTGGACTGCACTGATCACAGCTTTTCACTAGAACTCCATGAAATCTATTTTAAACCTAGTCACTAGTGAGCACATGATATAATTTATAAATGAATAATTATCATTTTTGGGTTTATTTAACGCTATTATCCGTTATTGTGTATAAATTTTAAGCATTTCTTCTGTGTCATGAAATTCCGAAACGAATAGTCTTGGGGTCTAGCCTAGCTTACCAATTCGAAATGACCAATTTTTTTGGTGAAGATTTGTCCTTTAATCGATTTATGTTGCTGATGTGTACGTTAAATATACTTTAATAAAGCAAGTGTAAATTACGTTATGTATCTCACTCTCTATCCTTTAACAAAATTTAAGCTCAATAATTAACCAATTTGTTTAGAGTCAAACCTTCTTCAACGTATAATGGAGCAGTTATTCAGTTGCTAAACTATTCACCTTTCAACTAGCTACGTCAAAAGTTGATTGGTATCATTAGAACTATGTGATAAAAAACAGAGTACAATAAGTTGCATTTAATAAAAATTTATGTATACTACTATTAGTCATGTGCTGCTATGATGATTATCTTCATCTTGTGATTGAAATATTCGTCAAACAAAATAGAATATTAGATAACAACTAATTATATGCATACTAACATAATTTCATGAATTGCACCAGAATTCATTAAATAGAATATTTATTATTTATTCTTCTATTCACATATAATAATGAAAATTTATCAGTGTATTAATTATATTATTTTATAATATTTAAGAAGTTACTAATAATTCACTTGGTATTGTTTTACTTGAATCTTCCCATTGATGTTTTTGGACTGAAATTGATCAGTCTTTTATTGGCATATGTGCATACTGTGCGTATGCCTCGATATTGTCTTAATTCACAAGCTTTTTGTAAGCAATGATGGATAGTGGTCAGCAGTGGAATCCAGGACGCGCGTTTCGTCCTGCATTAAACTTCACTCCATTGCACAAGCAAGTGGCTATCAGGACTCAGTAGCTAAGTGAATAACGCGATGGTGTTTGAAGCGAACGGTACTGAGTTCGAGTCTCAGAGTGAACACCAACTCTGAGATGCAGGTACATCCAGCTGACGAGTCCCAAACAGGACAATTCCACTGCTAGCCACTATCCAACTTTGAGTATAGTTACTAATAAATTTAAAAATAAGATTAATTACAATTGTAATAAATTCCAATTGAATTCAACAGAAGATAAACTAGAAAGTTAACACATTATGAGATTTACAGATAAGCCAAGGTCATGAAAAAGATTTAAACAATTTAGTGAAGAGAAAATGAATTAATAATAATAATAATAATAAAAACGCAAAAGTTTTACCCAATGCTAAAAATTTTGTTGTATTAAGGAATTAACGCCATCTATTATGTAATATGACAGGAGATATATATGAGATTATAATTTATGGACGACCTTTGAGCGACCCTTGAGTAACTTTGAGAAATTTCAATCAATCAGAAACCAGTCAATATAGAGTAGTATATGATTCAAAACCAAAAAATTAGAGTGGATAAACTTCTTCAATATGGTTTAAAAACTTTTCAAGGCTAGGAAAAGGCTCTGCAGTTCTGAAATCGTAATTCATACGATACAGGACTCCTCCATGTGACTCCATAATAATCGACCTCTGGAGCCATTTTGAGATCACAAAAATTCTTTTAGCCTCGACCACATTGCTTCTATATTATTTGTGTGTACTCAGGTGATGGGGTCTACAAAATGTCTCTTGTGGACGACGACACGATGCACGTAACTAAGTCTATATAAGTATCGATATGGTCTCCAATCGTCCATGTATATTTTGGTACCCACCTGCACATGCTGTCGTATAATTGATATTATAGTTGTAGATTGTCAGTTTCTAACGGGTTTGAAGTGTCTTTTTTGAGATGGTCTATTATATATACTAAAGACCCGTTAAGTATATTTATGGAAATGCTACTTGCCCAGTCTTGTTTTACACTTCTTCCTATATTGTATTCACGTTTTCTAACGACCGTTTCGTCTATTTCTACGATTCTCCCAAGTCCTCCAAACGACTCATGCAAGCTTGTCATTTTTATTGCATATATATCTCGACGATAGTCATACTACTGAACTGCCGAAGCTTCAGTAACATCTGCAAAGGTTGCAGACAATGCTACTAGTGCTTTTATTATTCGGTATGTAACAATTATCATGATCTGTCATTGTCTCAATCAGAATCGGGTGAAAAAGTTCCTGTTCTTGCAGACGTTTTCTTCTAGCATATATTACATCGAAACACATCATCACGATAGTGTGCACAAAGACCAGGAGTCATTAGACTACCACAATCACAAATAAAGGAACTTCTTGGTAATCCCATTTGCTGTAGCTGCTCAATTATAACGTCTTCTTTAAGACCCGTTGTAAACCGATCGTACGTGAGCGTTTGGTACTGAAATAGGTGCTGTGGCCTTGAATTTTCTCAAACACTTCTGACTGACTCATCCATAAATTACAGTCTCGCTCAGACATTTCTTTAATATGTATTTAGATTTTAATTAATCAAAATATATTTTATATTTGTTTTTAATATTCAATATCTTCCAGCTGTGATCAATCATTAAAGTTTCCTGTTAATTTAGCCGCTGAAACTATTTTTCCGTCTATAACATATTTGATGACTGAATTCAAATATATCTGTCCGTCATTTTTTCCAAAGAATAGATAAAATAGAAAACAAACCGAAAATTAGTGTTTTTATTTAAGTCTTCCGTATTGAGTATCAAAACAGTATATAATCCCTTTAGAAAACCAAGTGAGTAGACCACTGTAGAAACCAACATTCAACTCAGATACAGTTAAGTTTTATTCACTATATATATATATATATATATATATATATATATATATATATATATATATATATATCGGAACAGGTATCTGCTCCAAATACAGATCATGACCTCATCATACGACAAGGAAACTGTTATCAAGTGATGTGACTACTGAAAGCATGGAATTAAATGGGTGGTTTCGAGATGATTCAGTATGATCAGTAGGTAAGGCATTTCAAATCTTTAAAAGTGCATGGGACCTAAGGCTGGAATTATGTAAGGGTTTGAAGTACATTTTTATCACCAGCCGACATAAACTAAGTATCGATTAAACATAAAGAAACACATGAAATACGTTTCGTTATAGTATGGTTTTAAGTATCGAAACATTGCTGGGATCACCACGGATAGGATATAGAACATTTAGGTGCTATGGCTGATGTAGTACATTGGGTGAAGTTGAAGATATGAATCAATGCATGTTAGAGATCGTCATCGACCCTGAATTTAATGGGATTGAACCATGGTGAGGTTTTGAGTGGTCATTGCTGGAAAGTTTTAGACGAATACCAAACAGCTTTCCAACATTACTTGTTTTTTAATAGCTATCTAGTGAACCCAAGTCCCTGAAATAAATTATAAATGGAATATAACCAAGGGACTCGGAACAAAATGTCAATTTGCACAATACTATTAAAAACATCAGTAGTAGGTATGAACGAACAGGTTATGTATTGCGGTCAGTATAATCAACATAATCTTTGTATATTTTTCGCTGACTGTATAGATCAAATTTAATGATATAAATTCCTGTGACTTCCGCTATGAAAAGAGAGAGATAAGTGTTGAAGCATCTGGTACGTTGAACAGGATTCGACAGATGAATTTTTTAGATATCTTTCAATTATTTCTTTATTAAATTTATCAAATCTATGCTCTCTTACTTTTCGTAAAGTTTTTTTCTACGTAACTAAACTATTTAAGAGAAAAATAATCATTCCTATCCAAACCATCATCCAACGAAGCTATTTGTTAACAGCAATAATGAATTGAATAGTAAGGGGTTATGACTGACCGATTTCAATAGTGTCTGAATGATATTTGGGTTACGTCACTAACTGAACAAAGTCGAATATATAGACTGTTAAGTGTTATCCCAGTTATCTAGATGGCGAATCATGTAATTAAATTGTGTTTGAGATATTAAATGTTTTTTAATGGATCTCAAACTAAGACAAAATAGCTGTGCATTGCAATTTCGGTTGAACCCTCCTTTTATGTTTCAAGTGAGATTGTATAGTTGTCAAAATAAAGTGGTTGAAGACTTTCAATAACATGGTTCAGACTCTGTCAAGTTGATCCAGGTTGTAAGCGTTTTTCGCTGTTTTTAATTCATTGATACTTACGCAATCACTGGTTGTAGTTATTTTGTTAATGTTTTATGATGGTGTAAAGTACGACAAACGGACTGATTAGTTAATATACTGAGTTTTCAACAGTTTGTCTTCAATGTACAATGACGAAGAAATGATCTCAGTCATGTACTGAGTATCAAAGTTTATCGAGCAAGTAATACATGTTATTTCAAGCAGCTGGCTTTCTTGACAAACTTACAAAGCAAGACATTGTGGAAGTGAATTCATTGTATTTCATGTTCTGTAACTCATTTACATTTGCACTGATTATTATGGATAAGTAAAATACTTACAATTATAATTTCATGTACAGTATGTAAAAAAATTCATTTAGTTCACCAAGTAAAATGAATAAATATGAACACTCCCCGTGTTCATACAAGTTCAATATTTGAATGAAGGAATTAAACGACAGAACATGAGGTTATTGTGTATCGGAAATATGTGCAAATTTTTATGATTACGGTAGGAAAAATGACGAAGGTGATGGAACGTAAACTTGTACGAATATAGACTTACTTACTTACGCCTGTTACTCCTCGTGAAGGAGCATAGGCCGCTCACCAGCATTCGCCATCCAACCCTGTCCTGGGCAATCCTTTTGAGCTCCTTCCAGTCTTTATTCATCCTTTTCATATCTGCTTCTATTATCTGACGTAATGTGTTCTTAGGCCTTCCGCTTTTCCACCTTCCATCAGGATTCCAAGTTAGGGCTTGTCTCGTGATGCAGTTTGACGATTTGCGTAATGTATGTCCTATCCACTTCCATCGTCTTTTCCTAATTTCCTCTTCATATGGAAGCTGGTTTGTTCTCTCCCACAAAAGGCTGTTGCTGATGGTATCCGGCCAATGGATGTTGAGTATCTTGCGTAAACAGCTATTTATAAATACTTGCACCTTCTTGATGATGGTTGTTGTAGTTCTCCAAGTTTGAGCTCCGTACAGCAGAACTGTCTTGACATTCGTATTGAAGATTCTGACTGTGATATTGGTTGAAAGTTGTTTTGAGTTCCATATGTTCTTTAACTGTAGGAATGCTGTCCTTGCTTTGCCAATCCTTGCCTTTACGTCTGCATCTGAACCTCCTTGTTCATCGATGATGCTTCCCAGGTATGTGAAGGATTCTTCATCTTCCAGAGTTTCGCCATCAAGAGGGATTGGATTGGTACGAATATAGAAATCGCTCATAATTACTTTTTTTGACTAGCGAACGTTTTACATAAAATTATAATTGTGAAACCTGTTATTTATTCATACAAATCAGTTCGTATGTGAATGACTTAAAGCATACGAAATACAATGTTCATTATAAAATAATACAAGTTCTTTGATTTCGTTTAAAACGAAGTAGATGCACTTTTAGAATTTACTAAACCCAATTGCACGTAACATTTCATGTAACTAATTTTATTAGCTCACTCATTAGTGTTTTATTAATAATGAGTATGTTTGTTTGGTTTAAATTATTAAAGTCAACTAATGGGAAGTTAAGCTTGATCTAGATTTCGAGGTTGTTTTATCTAATAGAAACTCATACACAATTACAGTTTGTTATTTTCTTGAAATATCGTTTGTACTAATTTCTCTTTGGGTTGAGTCACGTAATTTCGAGGACCTTATCTAGGCAATTGTGATGCTTATTTACATCAGAGAATAATTCAAAAACGAAATGATACTCAAGGATTTCAAATGATTTATTAACTCAATCACACGACATTCAATAGATAGCCATCTCATTATGGAATCAATTGTCAATCTATCACTGTTGTATCAAAGCAAATCGCTAACCATTTATTTTATTATTTCTATCTTCACTTCAAAAATCGTCCATATATTCATTGTATCATTTTCACTCATCTATTCCCTTAAGCTTGTGTAGATTCTGTGGAATGTTGTTTTATGATAATTACTTAACTTACCTTGCAAACTTTTGGATTCCAAATAATTTAAATATTTTGGAACAGTTAGTCACCAAAGGATGGAAATTAATAAGGGTACTTTGCTCAAGAAATAAAATAATATAGATAATAAATGGAACGTTGTTATTGCAACTGATTTTTGAACTTTGCCACCCTACGTCTAATATTAATTAAAACATCCGTGGCGGCTATAACTAGAAAGAACGGTTATTATTCAAAGCACTCTACGAATGTTCTTACATATAAACTCACTAGTACTCTTGGTCATAGCAAATGGTCACGGTTGATTACCATAATATCAAACCGACTAATATTTTTTAAAAATTTAATTAGATTTGTAGACATTTGGTAAGAATTCATCATAGTAGTACTATCATAGCATTCTACTTCAATAGTTATTCTTATTCTAATTTAATTCTTAAGGATAATGAGCTGTTTGATACTACTTATTAAACGATGTCTTACTGTTGAATGGTTCACTTTGTTTATAATAGTCGTCATGGTTATTATGAAATCCGTAAAACGTGTGCATACTAATAAAACAGAGTTGGGTAATTAAGCAATAGTCTATTCAGTGGAGAAGATTTGTAGCTCAGGTGGATGATTTTGGTGGAGTTTTGTTCTCTGAGCTGCATGGTTTGGTCGTGGAGCTTTCATCGTTCTTCTGAACGACATCATCAGCACAAACTTCAAATAGAAGTGAAGTGTTCGAGGTGCACAGAACAAGCTGTGAAACACATATGGAGAAATTCGAACACTTCACTTCTATCTGAAGTTTGTGCTGATGATGTCGTTCAAAAGAACGATGAAAGCTCCACGACCAAACCATGAAGCTCAGAGAACAAAAACTCCACCAAAGTCTATTCAGTGTTTAAAAGTATTGATGTGAATATTATTATCTAATTTCTAAATGGTATTGGACACATTCCGCCGGTCATCTACCATCTCAACACTGTTATTCGTGTCATTTACTGATATCTGAAAGAGATTTTGGATGATATCCGACAATGTGGTTATACTGCAAGATTAAAAATTAAACTCAAAAACTATCGATATAACGGAGTTTAGATGATTGAAACTTCTAGTATACTGACACAAGTTATGAGTTATTACTGTCATAATTAAACTTAACTCACAAGACATAATCTTAAATTCTTATTAAATCTAAATTTCAATTTCAGTACTAAACGGATATGAAGAGGTTGTGAGATTTCCATAGGTTAAATCACAAACGTGATTATAGTTAAACCACTACTGAAAACTAGGTAGTGCAGAACGCCTGTTTCTTCTTAGGATGAGAATTCTCGGCAGTGCGCACCCATAATTCCACCTGGGATAGAACCTAGCACTGTCGATGTCACGCCCGAACGCCTAATCTCGAGACCACTGAGTCAGCTTCCAATGATGGGGAAACCCAATTTCATAGTTTAACGAGAAATATAACGTAAATGAGTGAAAAATTCATGCGGATTCCGGATTGATGCATTTTTTAGAACACGAGCACGTAAGACGTATTTGTCAAATGATACAGTCATATAATAATAACGGCAATAATAGTTTAAGGCCATTGTAGAAATAAGTATAAAATACTTCATTTGTAATAGATATTTTATGCATTATTTCATGAATAAGAGCTTTTGGTATTTCAAGGAATTAAATACGAAGAAATCCTGGTAGACTTGAACTAATTCTGAAAACAATCTTAAAATCAACATCAGTAGAGTGATTACATTCGACTAAATATTCAAGGGTAGAATTCACCGTTTTCCATTCATCTTTGTAGAACCAAACTGCATAATGTTCTCGCATCCACGCTGGAAACAACCACCAGACTAATGTATGTATACTATGCTCTACAAGAGCAGATAAACTAGCAAATACATAGAGGAGAATAGATGACGTAGTTTATCCTCAAAGTATTATTTTAATACTACCATTTTAGTTTAATTTCTTTTTTTGGAAATGTCCCTCTAATTATCTCTTATATCCCATCGATCTTACTCTTAATCGTTCTTGAAACCACCTCACTTCATTGAATTTCTCCAATACCTTTAATTATTGTAACAAAAAAGTTTTAATTATCTTAATCCATTCATACTAGAATCAACTGTTGGCTTTTTATTTTTATTTGCACAGACCCTGTATAAGTCACAAATCTATTTATTATTTACACTACATAACCCTAGCATTGTGATCTTTCGATTACAGTATCATTTTTATTCATTATTCATGTCCTCACGGAATTTATACTTTAGAAAATTCCGTATATATATCTTGATTGGTTCAGGTTGAATATTTTAGATTTACCGAACAGTAGACTTACAATAGCGGGATTGCCTCTGTACGCTATAGTTGTCCCTGATGAAAATTTTAACAGTATTATAAACAGTAAAACTTAGCTTACTGTCAATATCAACTAGAAACATCTTAATACTTCAGTACTTTAAGTTTTCAGCTATAAAGTAAACAAGAGACTATTATAAGTGCAGAAATTTTATACACTAACACGTAAAAGAACATTTATGTATGCATATATCTTCATTACAGTAAATAATATAGATACAAGCAAGTGTAGTACCTAAAAAACGTTGAAATATACATGAATCAACATAATATTCTTTTTTTTCAATTTCAGCCTTGATAATGTATGAAGTATGTATTGTTTTTAAATTGTTATATAAATTTATGCATATTTATAGGTGTATAGTACAAATAGTGTTTTCGCACTCAGTAATGAAATGAGCTAAATATGGAAGGGATAACTTTTAAGTTGATTATTATTATCGATACTGCTACCACTACTACTATCACCACAAAGAAAAGTACTATGAATGGATCTGACCACAAAAATCACATACAGGAAATAAAACATTAGGGGATACATGGAGAAAAACAAAAGCAGCAAAACATTAGATCGTACGCATGAAACAATACTTTGATGAATAGATTGCCACTACTAACAACACTAGTATAATCATCAATCAAGGAAATAACTTCAGCAGAATGATGCTATGAGAGCATGAATAACAAGGGTGCATGTACAATGATTTTCTCTGTGTTTTGTTTTCACCATGAAAAACCACAATAATAATAACAACAACAACACCAACGACACAGATTTCTTTAAATACTTAAAATGTAAACAAAAGCAAGAATAAACTAAACATGACGGTATTAACCGAAAAGACATCGCATAAAACAGAATGGGTATACGGATGTGTGAAAAGTAATGCAGAATACTGGACTGCCCAGTATTATGATGAAAATGAGGCGAAGTGAATTTGTACATCAAATTATAAACTGATTTTATTATCACATAAGTAAAGAAAGAGAAAAGGAATAGAGAGTAACAGAAGCAGAGAGATTGAAATATTCAAAATTGGATGAACAGTGAAAAATGCCGCGAGAATGAATCATTAATGATAAATAATAATAATGAGGCTAATAAGTTCTTAGAAATAGTGAATGTGATAAGCTGATGTAGTAGAATTAAAGAACCACGGGAAAAAATTCAATATTTTCTTTCTAACAAAAAAACACTCTTCAGTAATACTAAACTACACTGGGTCCATTATATTCCGCAGATTCACACCAATAATCTGACGGTTGGTTTGTTTCAACTAAATAAACAATTGAATCTTTTTCTGACTGATTTGTGCATTGATCAGGATCTGAAGAATCAGCTGAAAATGAGAGTTCTTCATTATTATTGTTGTTGTTCTGTGATAATAGTGAATTAGAATTCATTTGTGGTATGATGACTTCTTTATAAAATCGACATTCTCTGGTTCCTAAATCATGATCATATGGAGGAGCTAGTATATCGAGAAAAACTGCCGGGCCATCAACTGGAGTAATTTCATGTAAATTACCTTCGACTGGAAAAAGCAAACAAGGTTGATGATCCGGACATAGGACTGTATCTTGATGTGGTCGAGCAATGATTAAGTCGGTCAATTGCCATTTTGAATCATCAAAAACCGATAACGATGGTTTATAGTTTCCTAAATCTGTTGTTGATTTGACATTTTTCAATCGTGTGAAACTACGACATCGTACAGAACCGGTTAAAACTTTTAAAATCCCATACATTCCCGGATGATCATGTAAGGGTATACGAGAGCCAGGTTTCAAAATAAAAATACCCATGGAAAATACTTCATTTTCCATAATATGCACATAAGCGACTGGAGCAGATGATATATTTGAATCAGAGATCCATCGAACATCAAACCCAACATCTTTTGGAGTAAGAGAGCGAACACATGCTAGCAAACGACATAAAGATTCCGATAAATGTTTATGTTTTACCGGAAGAGTTGGGGAAACGGGTTTGTCAGAATGTGTTGGAGAATTGCCATTTGTACAAGGATGAGAATCCCCCATCCCATTGTTAATATTAGCTGATGCTGGGCCCAATGTAGCACGTACTGAGTGCTGTTGAAATGCATGAAAAGCCAAGTTGGCTACTGTTGCAATTTTTGTGGTCATATGGTGGAAACAAGTATCACAACATCCAAACTTCAAAGGGGAAATTTACCTGATAAAACAAAAAATTACACAGAAAGTTGGAAGTTACAGAACATGTGGTACTGACCTCGATCAGACATAGAACAACATGAACCTCTTATTGATTGGTGTTTATCAGTTAAAATAACGCAACAACCAGACGAAAGAATACATGCTATAGGAGAAACAGTATTTCACGTCCATTGAAGGGTAGGCTGCTAAATTTTCAAAAACGATTTAAGGTATTTAGGGGCTGTGAAAAGTTTATAAATACATATTTTGACCGGAAACAGTAAAGAACCCCAGTTTGTCATAGCTTAGAGTTTATGCAAAACGTATGAATCCAGATTTTTTTATTGATAGCTGCACACTGCGAAAGGTTTGAATAGTTTCACTAACTGTCTGTTAACAATCATTTTATCCCCTGACATCATGGATACCTTAAATTAGTTAAAAAGGACTGTGATCTGGAACCGCTTATTAGAGAGGACTATCTAGGATTTATTAATATTATGCGAACTGTATACGGAAAACAACCCACTCAAAGAACGTACATACAAACTAAATTTTTCATTGTTCCAAACCAGAAGTGTGGTTGCGTAATCTTATAATTTCATTTTAGTTTTGTCACTAACGTCGTTCAGGAGTTTTGAAGAAAGTAAGACAAAATAATAATACGCTATTACTTAGAGAAAATAATTCTCGATGACAAGAGTCTGAACGATAATGGTATGACACGTTACTCAAATCCCATTCCACTAGTTTGAGATCAACGAATTTGATTACAGGACTTGCCTTAGACGCCGAAGAGCGACGTACATGGATAAGACAGAATCCTATATCGAGATTCACACTTCGTGATAATCTGATGAAGATGGTCAAGATGTTCGTGTATCCAACGTAGCTATATGCCAGTAATTAGTAAGACAGGTGCAACCAGAATTAGGTAGTAAGATTATTAAACAAGTTACGCAAGATTAGGATAAAAATTAAAATGTTAACAAAACTGAAGTTTGGAAAATTTTAAAAGAGAAAGAATAAGTTTTGAGAAATGTAATAATATCTAAGTGGAAACCCAGGGTACATTCAGAGGTTGTATAGACCTTTTCTGTATACAAAGGTTAGGTATTTTGATATGTATTCCCTTGGCTTATGATTTTTATGAGAGCCGAATTCTGGAACCCTAGGGTAATTTTAGTGGAATTTTATTGATAACTCTAAACGCTAAATTTTTTATCGATATGATGAGCAGTATCTAATAAATGGGCCAAGATAGAACTTCTTACTACTTTCTTTTGTCAACCATGAGGTATGATGTTCGGAAATACAATGATGCCTTTGTCAGGTTGTAAGTTCAATATAACTAGCTCCACAAGAGTAGTTGAAATGGTAAATACAAACAGACGCATAGGAACTAGGCATTATCGTATTTCTGAACATCATACATCATGGTTGACACAAGAAAGTAGTAAGAAGCTCTATCTTCGCTCGTTTAGTGGATACTGGTCATTACGTCGATAAAAAATTTAGCGTTCAGAGTTATTCATAAAATTCCACTGAACCATTTTCATCAGACTATCTCAAAGAGCGAATTCCAATATATGGTCTTGTATGTCTTGTTATTATCACCGATACAACGACTACTTCAACTACCTTAATATTCTTACTTCTTACTTCAACTTGACTTCCCAGTTTATTTATTTATTTGAACACATAAATATTGGTACAAGAGAGCGCCAATATACATACGCCCAGTTTAGTGTAACGACATTTGTGATAGGTCACAAGTTGATAATGATTAACTGACTGACAATACTGAAATACAAGTTTCGGTAGCATGAATATGTCTTAAACGTTTCATTCTAGAAAAATTGCAGTTATTCTACAAGCTTACGAATACAGAGGTGGTCATTGTAGTGAAGAGATAACATACCTTAATAAGGATACTAAACCATAATTTGATAAGTATTTTTAAAATGATACACCAATTAATCGCTATGGATACTAATCACTGTAACTAAGTCCTAACAGTAATTAATTTTGGGTTAGTAATCAAGTAAATAATGATAGAGGATATTATTTAAACTGGCGGGAACCAACAACAACCAAACATTGAATTTGAAAATGATCGTAGGAGATTATCGTACTTTTTTGGAACATAAGTTGAGACTTTGACCGCATTTATCCGTACAGAACAGGAAAGCATCTACGAAAATGAAAAAGTTGAGGGTATATTTAAGAAGATATCTAATACAGAACAGTATGTATAGTTTGTATTCACTGCCAGGATAGTATTGTATTGAGATATCTAAGTATGTAATGCAGTTAATTAATGTACCAATATAGGCTGACATCATAGCTGAACTAAGGCAGATGGCAATAAATATTAACTTTTAACCAAAAATTGAATAGTGGAGTTCTATAGATTTATTTGAATCAATCGACACATTGTTATTTATTTTATTTGGACACATAAAGATTGGTACAAAGGGGCACCGAATACATATGCGCCACACATATTTGTTTCCATTGATGACGATTACAAGAACTAGGGGAAACAACCAAATTATTTCAATTAGCATCAATCAAATGTTTGAGATGGCCATAAATCGTGGTAATGATAATGACAACAGAGAACATACGATGCTCATCAATGACACTTATCTGTCTAGAAACATAACGGTAAAATTAAAAGAGGAAATCAGTGTTCTGATCATTAGAGAGAAGGGCAAGTGACAAATCAGTGACAAGCTGTAAGAAGAAACAAGTCAGTCAGTCACAACGTAGAACTTCGTACGTACGTACATCAGTTCGAGTTGCCATACCACATTAACACAGAGATGGAGTTGTCGATTCAAATCCCGTAGTGGTAGAGGTAGTAAGAGCATAAGCAGTAATCGGGAAGATTAGCGTTTGGAGATGTTATTTAAAGAGTATAATCCAGTGAAATAAATTTGGGAAGAGAAAAAAAAGAGACAACGGGGAATCACATCAAAATTTGGGAGAACACAAAGAGTGGATGCACCTGCGCCATTGCAAACGATTTTGAGCCATGTCATTCAGGGTCTCTAACCATCGGTTGCTATCATCTCGCGATTCCCAACTACGTAGTCTGCACCTATCAACATGACTCAGACCACTTGTCAGTGACTTCATGGACTTGTGCCATGTTTTGATCTGGCCGCCCCTAGCTTTCTTCCAATCTACTTCTATACCACTGAACATCGCACGTCGAGGCAGTCGGTCGTTGGGCATACGTAACACGTGTCCCAGTCATCTTGACTAATGGGGTTTCACCACTTCATCAATCGATTTTCCATCCTTACCTAGTACCCGTTTCCTAACAACTGCGTTACTTACTCGATGGTCCCAGGATATACGAGCAATTTTTAGAAGACACCTATAATCGAATACTAGTAACCTACGAATATCCTCTACTCTTACCGGCCATGTTTCACTGCCATAAAGTAGGACGGAACGAACTGCTGCGCAGTAAACACGTCCTTTGTTTGATAGACGGATATCTCGCCTACACAATAAATGACGCAAGTTGGTAAAAGCGAGTCGAGCCTTCTGTATCCGTGCTGAGATTTCGTCACACACCAGACCACAAGGGCTGATAAAACTTCCCAGATAAGTGAAGCGGTCGACACGCTCAATTACTTCACTCCCTATCATTATTTCGGGTGTCGATGCAACCCAATCCTGAAGCAACATTTTGCATTTTGAGGGGGAGAATCGCATGCCGAACATGCTTGCATTGTTGCTTAGAGTGGTCAGAAGACTATGCATTTTGTCAGCGTCTTCACCAAATAGAACTATGTCATCAGCATATTCCAAGTTAACAAGTGAATCTCCATGTAGAAGTCCAACCCCTGGAAATTTAGATGAGAAAAATGTTATCTCTAAAAGTACGTCAATGACAAAGTTAAACAAGAATGTAGAGAGTGGGCAGCCCTGACGAACACCACTTGAGGTAATCAATTCTGATGACAGTTCGCCATAAGCTCTCACTCGACCAGTTGTGTTCGAGTAGAGAGCCTGAATAAGGTTAATGTACTTCTCTGGTACTCCTTTTAATGACAAACACTGCCATAGAACCTCACGATCAACCGAGTCAGTCAAGAATTTAAAAAAAAACTCACACAGCTATTAACACTTTTTGACCCATCACCAATACACAATAGAATGCGATATTAATATGATTACGGATAAATCTATGCTTAAACTACTGCAAAATACTGAGTTTAAATCTAATTGATATCACATATGTGTATACTTTTTATTTCCGAGGAAATGGATGGTACAAATCGTGGGTTATATTCGACTAACAATTTTGATAACCGAAGTACCTTCAGAGTAATATGGGCTTAAATTCGTTTTCATTCTTTTCGGAGAAACACTATAAATTAGCAATATCAGTGCAAGTAGCGTTTTACAATCCGACTTAACTGTTCAAAAACAATCATAACACCTAGAAATCGTAAATAATTTGTCTTAATGAACAGAATACTTGCTTGGTTAGGGATAGTATGTGACGTCACTTCTGAGCTTATTTGAACACTGGATTGCTGGTCTAGGGTATAAGGGTAACTTTATCCCTATCGATAGACACTAATTATATGTATCAGATACGGAGGTGACAACACCTACGAAAATCTCTGTAAAAGTATACTTCCTTGATGACTTTCAGTGACTTTTACAATAATCCTGCGAAAGTAGAGTTAATTTCTAAACAAACAGTGCAAATGGTAAAGATGAATGCAGTAAAACCCGAGAACACTTAGATTGGGAGTTAGGTCCAGAGTATGGAAATGACATGTAGCCATATGAATGGATATTTATGCAGTTCTCTTACTTAGAATCTCAAGTACCTTTTATCCACCTTAAAAAAATCCATAAATCATATTACATATAGTTAAATTTTATTTGTTGCTTACTCAACTCTTGGTGATAAACCAACCACTTTCCCAAAAATAACTTAAGAGATGCGCGAATTAGTCTCCATATTTATCAAATTAAGTGATTCAATAACTAAGTATTACATGTTACACCGAACTCTCAGTAAAGCACATGCTGTCGGTCATCAAGTTTTAAACTTTTCCTAAAACTCTGAGGGTCGCTATCTTACATCCGCTCACCAGCAAATTATCCACCTGCCGCCACTTATCAGGTTATAATTTATAAAGGTCAGAAGTCACGGGGACCAATTTAGAGAATGTGAATCACTCTTGTGATTTTCCTGCGCAGTTTTTGCCATTTTACTTACTGAGCGCAAAATATAGCTATTAGAACTCAGGAAGATTCACTACTTGTTTCCTTTTAGAGCCTGGGTTCCAAAAATAATATTATACCTTTCCCGCTTCTTCCGTACTTAATATTTTCTAATACTATTACTCTAGGACATGTGATCTCATCTCGCTGCGTTATTTTAGAGATGGAAACTTGAGTGTCAGGTCCTGCAGACCGAGTTATCAGTGTTTACGCAGTACTATGACAACTCAAATTAAGTCTCGTTTGGAAGGGAATTTCTGACCTTTGACACGGATCAAGAGGTTCACTATACACATGGTCAAAGCGATTATTGACTTTTTGCTTATTGGCAGAAAATTTCAATCACAATTCTATTTAACTAGTAACCAACTCTTGGAAGATGCCGCAGGTAGATGTGTCCATCTACAATTGAACATCATGGTAGACCCGACTGATAAAGATCTCAGTACACCACAATGCAAAGCCTTTTAATTAAGTCATTATGAAGAAATGATTTTCGGGAGTGAAATAGGTTGTTTACTCAATATCCCTATTTCGAAAAGTTTTTTTTTCATTTTGGGTAAATTTTAGGGAAACCGCAAAAAAAGCTCTAGGGAAATGGAACCAAAATACCACCAGGTCTGGGGAAGAAACCCAAAGTTTTGAGGACACTTCGGGTTTTAAACAATATTTCCCCATAATTTAATAACATTTTGGGGTTTTTCTCTCCAAAACAGGGAGATTGGATATCGCACTGAAAAATAGAAATCAGACTCAAACCAGATACAAAATGTCGAATAAGGGCCTACTTCACGAATAATTTAGAAGTATTTACTCCAGGCCTTATTTCAGCGAAATTAAACAACCCGGAATCTTAATTATTAAAATCAGTTGGTTTCAATTCGACATGAATCATCAAAGTACAAAGAATAGGAATTTGCCAAAAACGACGAAAGGGTTTTTAGAGAAGTAAGGATAAAGCACAGGAAATATACGACTACTCACAAATCAACTTTACTCCTGAAGAGAAAGTCACCTTATCACTTGAGGTAACGTTGCTGTCAAATATACACCGCGAAGCAACAGTTTGTGTCCAATATCCAATCACCCCAATCAGTTTTCGGTAGAAAAGATAGGAGTCAATCAATTTATATTAAACTTTGCGATTTGTGATACGATAAAAGTTCAATCTTGCTTCGAATATATCGACAGGAGGTGTTAATATTATGTGCTCTACTAATTCTTTACTCGGTGGAAGGAATGGAACTCCTGACGTAAGCGGTTTGACTTTGGTTTGTGAAGTTTCTTGGGATTCTGTCTCAGATTATCGGTCCTTGATGGAAGGAGAATGTGAGACAAGTGTAGTTAGTTTTTATACCAAATGCGGTGTATTGCTGTGGGGAGTCATAAGTCTTTTTTTCTTTACGAATAAGCTGATTTCGACCAAAAACCAGTTGTTGTCTTAGTAATAAATGACCTTTAACCTTTAAAAAATTTGGCCATACATTCGCTTGCTTCTAATTCGTAATAAAGTGCCCAAGGAAATATATGTGAGCTGCAAAGTTACAGATTGTTGTATGGAAAATACAATTTATACCCAACAGAAGCTTCAACGTTATGTATAGGGTTATTCGTTCATCTCACTTAGGCAAAAATATTTTATTTGAAGCTCAATTTTCAAGTTATTCGTACTTCTAAACTTGCACTGAAAGTTTGATTTATTGCACATTGCCATAGTTTGCATGGATTGTGAATGATTGAGAATATTCTGATACATTGGGTTAGCTTGTCAGAATGCTTGTGCCATGCCATTTTTGAAGCGATTATGAGTTCAGCTAATCTGAGAACGGAAAGAAGATTCTGTGACACAATGATAGATAAGCTAGCTATTATGACGCGTCCCAGCCCCGCTAACCAGAGAGAGAAGTCCAAGTTCGAAAAGGTGAAATATATTCCGCAAACAGTCAGGAGCACGAACAATAACGACAGGCAGAAATCAAAAGTATTTATACAGCATAAAATTTTCATTGGTAAGACCAGCACCGGCTGTCCTAACTTTAGTCAGTATCACAACAGAATAAACATCAACGTCATATGGTGATAATTGTCATACCAGTCTTTCATTAGAAGCCGGAGAAGCTCCATAGCCGGTGGTCTGTGACTGCCGCAGTCTCCAGCTACAGCCATCAAGACAGTTGTCTTCAATACTCTATGAATATAAAGAGTAGGATGCTTTTTAAATTGACACAAGGTTAGGAGTTAGCATAACGCCAGTCACCGAACTTGATAACAAAAACCTTGATCTCATTGTATAGCGACTAACGTGCGATTGAGTTTGTTCACATTTAATTCGACTAAGTCATTTTGTTGACTTATCAACGAATTGAGTCATCCGTACAACAACAACTTATCTATATCATTGTATCTTTATTATCGTTGCGAATGGATGAACATGTATGCTTGAACATTGCTTACTGCCTACGCATATATTCACTCTGCTAGCCTTATTATCGGTCGCTTAATAGAATCGATGATTCATTCATTTCATTATGTATATATATGTCCACGTTATTCATGTTCATTGCTCCCTCGCTTATCTGTACTCGCTTACTCGCACTCGTATTCGCTGACTCGCTCGCTAGCTCGTTTGCCTGCTCGCTTTTCGGCACAACTCCTTTATTCAGGCTTAACGTTCCTGTTATTTGGGATATCTTTGTGCGGTCCCATAATAAACGTAATTAACACTTCGTATTCGTCTTCTGATTAACATACCGTTGGGGCGTTATCTAGTGACGGTTATCAAGACGAACTGTACACGAAGTTTAAGGATTATATTGAATACCGACCACCACAACTGTCGTATTTCAAGCCTCCAATGGCTCATACACAAGTGTTTATAATATAATACATAGTGTAGTGAACGTGAACACAAATGGTGACAACGAAAATGTATTTCAACACAAAACCACAGAATCGCTTATTAAAATCTGAGAACATTACAGTAAATTATTCATTCACGAAATGTCCAACAATTTTCTCAAAACTGACTGATTCTTCTTTTCCACACCAATCACTTTCTGTTCTCGTTCTCTTTTCTTCGATTTTAATAGCCCTCTTCCACCAGGCATTTCATTTTCAATATGTATTACTTATATATGTCAACATCAGTAGCACACACCACAATAAGGCGAATTGGAAAAATAGTGATATACAAGAAACAGATTAAAAGATGTATTGGTATTGTGACATATAGTGTCCAAAATATGTTCAGTTGCTCTAAGCTTACGAAACAGAACTTTCACCTTCGAAGAGTCATCATGATGAGAAAAATCAACTTGAAGAATGTCTTCATACCACTTGAACCAAATGTGACACCAGCAACGGGATCAAAATGAAACCCGTTCGTAGAGTTGATCAGTGATTCGGTAGTTCGGCCCTTAATTCGGACACCTGTAATGAATTTTCTAGCATGGACAACTTTTTTGCCACCATTTCGATCACTTACAATTGTGATGTTTAAAAATCTTTTTGTTGCTGCTGCGAAATAGATCTTAGTTGATCTACTGAAGTCGACATTGTGGAATTGTATTTATTTTCACGTGGGTTTGACGAAAATCGTCCACCGGAAACTGTTGTGACATGCAGTTTCCGGAATTTGGTACTGATACATGGTGTGCTACGTGGTTCCCATCAACTGACTACTTGAGTAACAGCACAAGCAGCTACTATTGTTGGCCTATGAAGTTTCGGTCGTGAGTATCTTACGTCCATGTATTTTGTGGTGGAAAAGTTACTGAATTTCGAGATTGCTTAATCGTTTATTAGCTTTTGTGCCTCAGTATTGCATATGATTCCGAAGAAACATCTCCTATTTTTGAACTTTTGTTTGCCATAAAATACTTGACGCTCGCGCAACATCAGAAAAATGCCCTTCACTGATACACAAGATGTTTTCAATGATTTAACCAAAGTAATCCTCTTTCACACATCAGTCTTTTAAGAACATGTTACGATGTCCCAATTTGTCCCGATAATGTTTACGAACAGACATCATCGCTTCAGTTTAAAAGAGTTGACACAAATATATATTAATCTCAAGTAATACGATGTGTTATTTCCAAATATCACTAAATGAACGAGTTAAAGTTAGGGTTGTGGTTAGGGTTAGTGATATGATGAGAAGAAAAGTTAACGTTCGATTGATTTATTCATTTTAGAATTATTAATTTTGTTCCTGCTGACATTAGATTATGACATTTACTAAACCATATCACTCACCGAACAAATTATAATTTTATGAACACCAATTTATGACATTCAAAACTCATGAACTGTTTTTATTATTCAAAAACGTAAAATTTTTCTGATTTAAGTGAGTTTAATCCACTTTTTCCATTTCATTTTCGGCCTAATATTACACTAATTCACATAGTCGAGGTAATTTTTTATGTTATTATACCATACATTTTTCATTTCGAAATCTCCTATTATGTCTGCGCACGCCTCTTAATCTACCAGCTGATTAGTAACGATTACGTTCATCTCATCTATTCATCCGCATGTATGACTACATGCTGCATCATTTATCACCCAAAAACGTTATTCGAGTATTTCAATTACTATTCTATTCTGTGAGACCATAATTTATGGAGGACCATTGAGCGACGCTAAAGTGACCTTGAGTGGGTCTACCTACTTACTAGGGCTAAATGAGGGTTATAAAGCAGTTTGAAGAATAATGATTATGATTTACAATTGATGGTTAGGGTTAAAATTAGATTTAGTGTTTTCATCACAAACTGACATTAGCTATAATGCCAAAACTCTATTTATCCAAATGGGTGAATGAATTTTACGCCAAAATCTAGGACCTGTTATCGTAAATCCGATCGGTTTGTCCATAAGTTATAGCATCGCCTTCTATTCTATTCCAGTTGCATTATATATTAGAACATAAAGTTTAGAGCTGGTCTCTTTAGGATACACTCTTGTTCGTCACATGCAAGTCAGTGTCACTAGTCGTCGTCGATAATATGTATTGGTATTTTTAGCATGCCTTAGTACGGTTTTGTAACAAACGAGGTCGAGTGCATCTCCTTCAAACCACACAAACCAATCGAGGCTTCACGACCAACAAAGAATACGACTCTACGTACCCCGTCTACTCAGTCACTATTCTGTTCATTCTACTAATACATATTTAACGATATCTCGATGCATTTATCACAACGCAAACGACAACGTACACTGACTTCACATTTTATGATTATTATCAATTGCAGTATAGCAAAAGATATTACCCATCAATGCAGTTATTGTTTCACGACTTGGCTATTATTATCCTACGAACGGGAACTCTACGTATTTAAATTCGAATCCACTCCTCGCTAATCGACGCTACTTACTCTACTGCGGCTCATCAGATCATGTGATGAATTTCTGGAGAGTTTATAATTTATGGACGAACCAATCAGATATAAAATAACGAGTCACGAATTTCGGCCCGAAATTCTTCCATACATTTAGCTAAATAGCGTTTCGGTATTATAGCTGATGTCAGTTCGTGATAAATATCCTAAATCTAGTTCCTAATCCTAACCACCAACTATAAATCATAATTCTAGTTCCTCACCCTGGTTTATAAACCTTATTTGGTCTTGGTTAATACGTGGGTATTCTCAAGGTGACTTTAGCGTCGCTCAAAGGTCGTCCATAAATTATAGTCTCACAGAATTTCTTTATTAAACAATAGTAAGAACATGTTAAGTTCAAGAATTTTCACTTTTCATGTCAAAAAATCTTCATTTTTAGTGTGATTAAAGCTTTCTGATGATGATTCAAAGCAAGCTTACATGACACTAGATAATTCCTATCCCCCCTTAAGGAACTTGAATCAAATTGTTGTTCTGATTGCTGTATGGTAGCTCATGTACAATTTGTTCACATTTAATTTGGTCAGACCTTTTTGTTAACTTAATTAACCGACAGAGTCATTCGCACAATAACAAGCTATCTATACTATTGTACCTTTACTATTGCTGCACATGTGTGAATATGTACGCTTGAGCATTGCTTACG